TGAGCGGCTCAAGGACACGTCGCACACTTCTGGAAAACTTCAAGAACAAGAAGAAGCCTGTTGCCCAGTGGACATGATGAGAGCTTTCATGGCTGGGAACAGCCAAGCCCCCTGCTTCTCTTCCAGCTGGCAAGCTTACCGGTAACATGGGAAGCTATGACAACGTCCTTGCGCATTGAACCGTGGCACGAGCTGCTTTTCGAGAGCTTTTGCCCAGGTTCTTCCGAGGTGTTCAGCCCTCAGCACCTCCCCCCTCCCTCTCTCTCTCTGTTTGCCACCTGTTCGGGAGTGTTTTTGGGCTGTGGAACGTCCTATTGGCGTTCGTTCTTGAAGGAGGCCTTCAGAAGTTCGTCTTCCCAACCCAAAGTGGGAATCATGGTTCGTCCGTATGTCCACTGATGGGTAGGATCCTTGCTATCAGGATTACTGCAAGAGACCCCTTCTTCAACAGCTGAGATCATGTCGCGAGTGCCTGCATCCATCATGATCGGCTGCATCTTCTATCAGATGGGCGCGGTCGGTTGCTCAGAGCTTGAGCACTTGGGCCGGTGGGAACCATGCTTTTAACATAGAGAAGATACCTACAACAGGCATCCCAGTTCTGCTGTCATCTGGAAAATTGAATAGCAGCTGCCTTGTGTGAAATTGGAATGAAGGGAGGGGAATTAATCCAATGAGCCTTGACCATGAACTCCCGTTTTTGCAGGCCTTTGCCAAAAAGTTGCTCTTCGCCAGGAGTTCACCCAGAAGAACATCTTCCCCATCAAGGGCGTTATGTTTCTTTGCGCGTGGGATGCCAAGCGAAGTTGAAGGAAGCCGGCAAAGTCTGGTGCTTTAATGACCCTCCCTGAAACTGACAGAAGCGTAAGGGCGCAAGGGTGTTGTTGTGCCACTGCCGCATCATTGGTTTGGGGCCTGGCACCTGTAGTGCCCTGCTGGACGATGTCTTCCGCATGTCCTCCGCAGCCACGTGCTCAGATGACTACAGCAGTTAGCATGATCAGCATGGTAAGCACAAGTGTTGTTAGCCCCAGCGGCGCAGGTTGAAATACTAGCTGCCTTCCGCATCCAGCCTTCGCCAGCAAGTCTAACGAACTCGAGCTAGGATCCTCTCTGTGAGAAGGTGGAGATGCACGCACTTGTGGTTGCCTCCACGGCCTTTGGTCCTATGCACCCCGCATTTGGGCCTGTGCCGCAAGGGTCCATTGGCCTGGCGCGAAGGACGTGGCACCGTTACGGAACAGTACCACAGCCGGCAAAAAGTTCATGCAGCATACTGAACTATCTTGATTGCTGCGCTCATCGCGCAAGCCAGATTTTGGTGACTGAAAACCTTTTCTGCTTGCTTACTTCTGCATGTGGACCAAAGGGGTGGAAGGCCTCACTATGCAGTTTATTGAGTGCAGCTTGTGCACAAACATCTTATGCAAACATTGTGTTCATGAAGGTGGTTTTTTCTTTTTAGTGCAAGTTTCCGGAAAGATGACAGCCGGCTCAGCGGGGAAGTACTGTGTGTGCGGTGCAGCACATAAGCATTCCCAGGTGTGCGGAGGGCCGGTACTGCAGGGAACTTGCGCAGCCGCTCCTACGGCTGCGGCGGTGCTAGCGCTGCTGCAGAGAGCAAAAGCTGATGGCAAGGCACCCTCCAGGATCAGGAGCCAGTGAGCCAGTTTGCAAGTTTCTTGCGGGGACTGGGTACCAGCGCCGCATTCTGATAGTATGTCTTGAAGTTCGAATTACTGTTGGGAAGCTTATCCTGTTGGAGGAGCCGGGTTCGCTGCCATGGTCTCCAGCCGGCAGCGGGACTTGTCGACTGCGGCGCCAAGGGCCAGGGCGTTCTGGCCACACAGGACATGCCTTTGCTGCTTGAGCCCCGAGCTTGACCAAGGAATTTCCAGTAAGTTATCCAACCCAGCTGTGAAATTGAATTGAATCAATAAGTGCGACCACATCAACACGCAGCCGTAGGACATTCGCGCCGGGGAGACGCTTTCGTGCCGAACTCAACAACTTCATATAAATGAGTGCCCGAGGGTTCGTCATCGAGGGTCAACCGCCCATTTTTGATGCTGCGAGGCGCGAGGCACCTCTTCTGAGACTCAGAGTGAGCGGCCGCGACTCCTCATGGTACGAGCAAGCTGAGAAGCAGTTCAGCAGGCCACTGAGTTTCTTTCAGCTGACGCATGCGCATGTTTTCTTTTTGCCGCAAAGCTGAAGAACTAGCTTAGTCAATGTCTCCTTCGAAGTCAGACATCCGGGCCTGTGTTCATGGCGGATATCTCATTCGCCTAGGGATTGATCAGGGTCGGCTTGGGCTAGAAGGGCTTCTTTTCCAGCGCAGCTTCCTTTGGTTGATCTTAAGACTGGGCCGCTCGACCTGTGTTCTTCTGGGTCAGCTACCTGCTCAGCGATGCTTTCAATGGTTCTTCTTTGGAAGGGTTTGAACTCATTGACAAAAAGCTTCTGCGTGGTGAGTGGTAGTGAATTGCCAAAGTCACTTCCTTCCTCAATTGGCGCTTGTTTTCGCCAGGTTGCCCCAAGACGTCCAGCACCGCATATTTTGCTTGGCAGACACCTTCTCCGAGGGCTCCAAGACCTTGCTAGGGATCCTCAGGACATGACAGCTCTGGGGCTCCGTGCCTGTTGCGATGGTGATGGTTCTTCTAGGATGAATTTGGTGGAAGCTGCAGGTATCAGATCATAGGTGGCGCATAACCGTGTCGGGTAAGGGATCAACCAACTGGATCAGCTTAAGAGACGTAGCGGATCAGTGTCCTAGCACCGAACAGGATCAGGCCGAAACACGTAACGGCTCAGGATGTCGGATCAGCTCGACCATCCTTGTATCTAGGCTTCCAGCGGTCATTTTGATCTTTTGATCGCTTTCATGGGATTCTGGGGACGCTCCGCGCGGGAGTGCAGATCGGAGGACGCTCCACGTCGGAGCGCCGTCGGGCGATCAGATTCTGACGACCATCCACACGGGCGCGCCGTCGGAGGGCCAGATTCTCAGGAAGCGCCGTCTGGAGGTGGGACCCTGAGGACCTTCCACACGAACGACGGATTTTGAGATCGCGGGTAGGTTTCATACGGCTTAGGGTTTAGGATGGCTTAGGGGCTTGACCTTCGTGGGTCTTTTGGGTTTAGCTTGGAAGTCGTTAGGGTTGAGGGTTTGGAGGACATGTGGGAAACATGAGCGGCTTAGGGTCTTGGGGGGTATTTCGGGCTCAGTGCCTAGGAGTCTCTAGGGGTGTTTAAAGTTTTTAAGGTTTAGGGTTTTTGGGGTTGTTAGGGTTTTGAGGCTTTTGGGTTTTGAGGGTTTGGGGTTTGTACGGCTTAGGCTTTTTTAGGGTTTAGGGTCTTTAGGGGCCTTGAGTTGTCAAGGTTATTAGGGTCTAGAGTTGTTTGTGTTTGGGGTTTTAGGGTCTAGGGTTTCTAGGGCCTTTGGGTTTTGAGGGGTTTCAGGGTTTAAGGTTTCACGGTTTGGGATTTGTAGGATTTCGGACTGTTAGGGTCTAGGGTTTTAGAGTATTTCTGGAACTTAGGGATTTTTTAGGGTTTGGGTCTTCAGGGTTCAGGGCATTGGGGTTTAGGGTGTTCAGGTTTCATGGAGTTTAGGGTTCAGGTGTTGAGGGGCGGGTTCAAGGTTTGTTTGGTTCAGGGTGATCAGGGCTTGGGGTTTTTGATTGGTGTTGAAGGTTTTTAGGGTTTTGGGTTTTAAGGGATGAAGGTTGTTAAGTTTTACGGTTGTAAAGGTTGTTTAGGGTTCTTAGGGCTTATGGGATGCACTACTTGATATGATACTGATACTGGTCACGTTGGAAAACACAAAGCGGGGGTTGGGGGGCACAGCCCCCTCACTTGCAAACCATTTAGGACTTTGGAACTTGTGGACGAGGATTCATTATTCGATATGAGACGGGTCCATGAACAAAAAGATCGGAGCGGGGGTTGGGGCGCCGCGCCTCCCCCATCTGCCATCCGACGTGACTCAGGTTGTGTTTGTTTGAAAAAGCAGGGGGCTTGGGGCGGGCGCAGCCGCCGTAAAAATTGTTAGGGTTCAAGGTTTTGGGCCGTTTGGGGCTCCAACATGCTTAGCGTTTGGGGTTTGGTTCAGGTTCACAGTTTGGCCATTGGGGGATTCTAGGGATTAACTGTCATCCTTTTTGACGCCTCAAAACCCCCTATCCTCGTAACTGTCCGCGGTTCTTGATGCCTCAAAGCTGCCATCCTTGTAAATGTCGTAAGTGTCCTCGGTTTTTGGCGCCTCAAAGCCACCATCCTTGTAAGCGTCTTCACATTTAGCCCCTCGTGCTTTTGTAGCGCCTCGAAAGTGTCGACAGTCACAGGGATGGGGGTGGTGCTTGTATGTCTACTGGATCCCATTTCCTGATCCGATTGGGGCCTGGCCTGATCCGATTCATGCATCGCAAGGTGATCCAATACAGCCCTCCATCGATCCGTTACGTCGTCTTTTCCTATGTCCCCTTCATCCAGTTCGTACCACGGCCCGATCCGTAGTTACATGTGAGCCGATCCGCGGGTCTACCGAATGTGTGCAGGATGGTGCAGGACTAAAAGGGGTTGACAAGTTGACAACTTCGAGCTAGAATCTGCGGTTGGCTTAGGATCAGTCAGTATCAGCTGTGTTTGGTCTTCTGTGCAAGTTGGGTTTCTTGACTTACATGCGAAAAAAAAGTTCGACGCATTGAGCACGGAACAGAAGACTTGAACTTGAGCTAGGTGCTCAATCCAGGCTGAGCTTCCGGAGAGTTGTCATTGAATAACGCTTGCCGCGCTAGTCGAACAAGCTGCATGCGGTAACTTGTTGTATTCACAGCATGAAGGACAAACCTTTTCTCCGCAGATGAGTCTGATGACGTCCTATTGCAGCTCGGAATGAGGGTGAGATGTGTTTGTCAGCAGGGTGTGATGAGGGGTTGCCGGAGAGGGATGCAGTGCAGTGGTGCACCTTTCCCTCAGATCAGTCAAGGTGCGACATGGCGAGTCGCTTTAACCATTCCTGCAACGCGAACTGCGAACAGGTCTGGAACAAGGCGGGAAGGGATCTTCTCACCAAACTACCGCAAGTGGAAGATGCGCTGCTGCTACTCAGGCGTGACGTCAAGCCGACGTTGCTAGAACATTTCTAGAATGCCGTCAAGGAACCATAGTACTAGCACCCGTCCAGACCTGCCTGGAGGAGCAGTGCGTAATGGAAGTTCGCTCCTGCACAGACGTTGAGGCAGGACAAGAGCTCTGTGCCGCTTGAAAGCAAATTCAGGGCCCCAGTCCAGCGCGACAATGAGTTGTGGCAAACCTCTGATTTGAACGTTTTGCGCGTTTCGTTTTAGAGCGCCGCCCAACCTTCGGTTGACAGACAGTCCTCTGTGCATGCTACGGCACAAGTACACAAGCTCAGGTACGATATATTGACATCCGTGGAACTCTGAGCAACTGGGGTGGCATAAATGTGTCCGACCCACCCACCTTCACCTGCTCTTCCTCAGGGAAGACAGGAAGACATGTTATGTGAGGAAGCTTCAAATTCTGGTCCAAGTAGTGCTGCCTGGAACTGAAGCTGGTCCTGCTGCGCAATGTCACGATCCAGCACCTTTGTCAGGCTGTCGCCAGTATTTGCTGAAGAAGATGTTCAGCTTTGACTGCGTGTGCCAGGCAACCTTGCGAACTGCCTAAGCCAAGCCACGCGGAAGACTTTGCTGTGTGCACTCAGGTTGCGATTTCCAAGTTTCTAGGATATTCCCAAAGGTTGCAGCCAACTCACATGGTTGTCAGGTTTGTTCTCGCGGCACTGATGACGACAGTGACTCCCGGTTCCTCGGCAGAATGGCGCCAGCCCTGCAAGCAATATCAAGCAGTACTCATCATGCATACATGCTTTTCTGGCCCTCGCCTGTACAGCCGGAACAAGTACTGTAGATGCTTGGAATGGTTCGTAGTGGTGATAGCAGCATCTGATAGCAGTGGCAAAGAGGCATCTCAGCAGCCTTGAATGCTTGTTCGCTCCCACTTTGCAAGGCGGAGCGAGATGGCCTGTCTCTCAGACGAGCTTGACCACGTAGAGCCAGGAGAGGAAGAGGTCGGCACGGCACGTGCGGATAACTTTGTTTCTGGACTGCCAGCAACTTTCACAATCCATAAACATTCAAGTAAATTCAACCCTGCTAAAGAGCTGTAGAATCTTCCGCTGAGCTCGGCAAATAAGCAATCAACAGGAACCACACCATGGCATGCTGCACTTCATGTGCTACAGTTGAGTGAGGCGTTCCGTGTCCCATGCAAACGTGAAATGTGGCCCGTTGCCAGGTTTCAGCTCGCAGTCAGCTGCGACGGGTCAAGAAGCTCTTGGAGCTTTATGATGGGTCCTTAGGGTCGTTCTGACGCACCACACTTCCCTTGTTGCACCTGCGCCTTCTGGTCTGCCTCTCTGAGGATCAGGAGGGCTTGCATGATCAAAGCAGCCGACTTTTGGCCTTTGAAGCTGCTGCGGCTTTGGAACAGTATCGAGGTGCGGGTGCGTGGCTGTGGCCCGCCTGTTGCGATTCTCAGCCATAGTTTCCACAGTGTCTCTGGCTGACCCTGTGTGAACGCAATCTTCGTGAGATCTAGATATTCGATGATTTACGCATATTTACGCGGCTTGTGCAGGAGAAGGGGGTGTGCATTAATTTGAGGAGGATGCAAGTACTTCATGTAGTCATGGTCTGCAGTCCCTGCCCAAACATGGCGAGAGGCAACATCACTGGCTCACATCGATGGCTTCAGAGGGCACTGCAATGTGCCCTGGCTGCACAGGACGACCGCCAGCATCCTGCGGCCAGTAAGCAAGGGCTTTGACTCCTCTTCTCGACGTGAGTGCGGGCTTTCAGGTTCAGAGCTGATCAGAGGAAGCGAGCATCCGGACACTCGTGACATGGCTTTCATTCATGACAGAGTCCTTCTTGAGCGAAAGTTCTCCAGAAGATCTGTTGACTTGTTCTGCCAAACCGTAGACCTGTCTGGAGCAAGTGCCACTTTCCTTGTCAAATCCCAACTCCTTTGACAATGCAACGTTGCAGACCAAACAGAACAGGCGGCAATACATACCCTGCTTCGAACTCTGCCGCCCGCTACCAAGACTGAGCCTCTGACCTCAATATTCTTTGACTGAGGTCAGCTACGCGAGAGGGCAGAAGAACTGCAGACTCTTGCATTGAACCAGGCGGCAGAAAAAGGTGCGAAGCAACCAAGAGGCTCAGCATACAATAGAATCTACAATACCTAGCAATGCCAGATGCTGAGCTGGATCCTGCTGGGAGAAAGCACTTTGAGACGCGGGGGATGTTGATCTCCTGTGCATGAAGTGTCACCACATGGTAGATGAACTCCGGCCCAAGAAGCATCATCCCAGCAAGTGATCTTAGAGGCAGCAGAAGAACGCAGAATCTCAGACATGTTGTGCTCTCAGGCAGAACCCTTTGATCGAGTCCTTCTACGCAGGTGGCCGTTATGCGACAGCTTGACACGAATACATTTGCCTCTGCACTCGCCCAAACAAGTTGCGTTCCTGCACTGAATACTCGGATGATTTACTTGGACCTCTTGGCCAGGGGCCGCGACCTTTCAGCAGACCAAGGGGCTCCTAAAGCGCGACTTGGCCGATTAATAGCAACTCGTGGGGAAGAACAGTCACACTGACTTCTGCATACCATGCCTGCCTAAGCTCGAGCAGTCTCAAAGTTGCAATGACGTCTCCTCAGCTTGCCGAGGTGAGTATTATGATGGGGTGTACCAGGCCTATAGCCAAGCCTGTTGGTTCAGCCTGCTGAAGCTCGTCCCGATAGATCAGCAAGCTCGGTTGAGCGCTTGAGCGCTGTGCATTTGTTGTTCCAAAGACACAATTACAGCCTGTGTTGCTCACCCCATCCGCGAGTCTGAATCCAAGACATCCAAGAGTGGCATGCATGTGGAGAAGCTATTCAGTGAGCGGTTCATTCCTTCGCCCTGTGCATGCAACCAAACATGGCAGGTCTTGCCATACTACATGCCATCAGCTCGGTGCAGCTCCACATGTCTTGTCAGAATGTGGCAAATGGTGCCGTTGCGTCGGTTCGCAGTAGGCGAAGCAGGCAACTTTGCCTGCTTTGGATGCCAAAAATATGGGTACCATTGTCGGGCTCCATATAACAAGGATCATATTATTTTGGGGTCTATATTGGGGTCCCCCTATATACAGATTTCGCATTTTTGCAAGCCAATGAATGGCCGAGGGCCTACTACCTGGGTTTCCTGGCCATGCAGATACCCTGGACACTAGACGCTTGGCAGCAGTCTGGGGTCTGCAACGTAGCATGCATTGTCCAGCTTGTTCGGAATCCGGTCGAAACGCGTTAAAGACTGTCAAGCTATTGAACGCATACAACTCTGACCAGCCAGATTGGTTGATATCGCAGCACAGAGTCAGAAGTGGACAACAGCAAGCCAAGGCATGGGCAACCCCGCTTTACCTGTGCTGCCCTGAGCAGGGTCTTGAGCCATGGCGAGTTGACACATGTTACTCGAGTCATAGTCAGAGACGGTCCAATGCTGTCCAATGCACCTCATATCCCAATAGCCCCGCTCCAGGCTTATCGGACTACCGCTGGATCCATACCGCTTTGGAGCTTCTTAGATGCAAGAGCTTGTGCAATCTAGATGCTGGAGCCATCCCAGCCACATCAAATAGTGAGATGTCAGGTTGCCTGCCGTGTGTGATGTTGCTTGCCATTTGCAAATTGGAGGTTTTCGTGCTCACAACTTTCCTGGCCTGTCGCCCAGAAGCTAGGGCTTTCACCAGACTTTCTTTTTTGACAGCCATTGTAATGGATTCAGATGATGTCAGCTGCCTGACCAGAAAGCTTGGCTAAGGTGCTGCTGTTTGCCTGCGTGGCTGGCTCCGCAGCAGGGCGCTCAGATCTTTTTAGCTGATGTTTATCAAGCAGTACGCCGTGTATGCCTCATAACACAGGTTGTGTCTCTTGAGACTGACCACTGGGCAGCATTCTCTTTGATGTGCGCAGGTGGGAGCCAAATCGCGGGATGCGGATGGCAACAGAGCAGCATCGGCCCCGCATGCCCTGCAAAGTTCGACAGAGGTTGCAACCATGTGTATTGAAAAGAACTCGCATGCAAAGGTCCTCATGCCGCTCATCATTCCGGCGACGCTGTTCTCAGGACTGGGGCAAGCATGCTGGTCTTCATGGCAGGGATTGCATGACTTCTGCAGCGCTGAGCTACAGCAGAATGCTGATCGCAGCAGACTCCCACAGGATATGTTATCCCTTTTGACCAGATTCCAAAGATCTGGCTGCCGGCATCCTGGTGCTGTCTTGAGCTTCCTGTGCAAGAGTGTAGGTGTGGTAATCAATCATCCCAAGAATTCCTGAGGCTGGAGGTCCCATGTCCAGGTCCACAAATTTCCACATGAGCCTTGAAAAGCTCAGGCCATTCTACTACATGTCCCCGATTATGTGGGCCATGAGCATTCTGGAGACCAGCCTTTACGAGGCCCGGGCTGGCCGAGAGATTTCGAGGTTTCCCAAAATTAGGGTTTAGGGTAACCCTCTATGGGGGGTCCCTGTAATAAGGATTGTAGTACATTGGGTTCCATCTTGGGGTCCCCTTTTTTAGGGTAACTGCCATTTTATTGCCAACATGGCCGCTGCTGCTGCTGCTGCTGCTGCTGCTGTTATGATCCGCCAGGCGGCTAGTAGCAGCACCGTCATCATTTCTGTCATCGGCACTAATATTATCCTTGATATATCTGTGACTATCATTCTTTACAGCAGCTGCCAGGGAGTTGTCTTCGAGGACTGCAACCCGAACGCTCCAATGTGGAGACGGCGCTGCTGGGACATGTCCTCAGGAAGCATCTGGGGGGTATGCTCTGACTATGAATCCTGCGCGTTTCACCGCTGATCCTCTCGCCACGGTGCATGATCCTGGCCGTACCAAATGCCAAAGGAAACCACCATTCCCTGACGCACGGAAAGTTGTGATCTTCCTTGCCCCCTTGGCCGTAGCTCCGGGGACTCTTTCCGCAGCTTTGCCTTCGAGTCTAGTCCAGGGTCCCCTCGACGGTATCTCTATTCCGGATTTGTTTAGATTCCAGGGGAGGGCCCCTTGAGGATGAGGTGTTATTGTTGTTATTGGTGGTGGTTGCGGTGCCCGGTGCCCGGTGCCGGTGGCGGCCAGCAGCGGCACTGGTGGTGGTCATCATCGAGCTGCGGCTGCTGCTCAGATGCCCCTGGTGCTGTTGCTTCCACTACTGATACTACTTCTTAGTGCTGCATGAAGCAGGGACCCTTTCGAAGGGATGGGGCATGTTGAGCGAAGAAGGAACATCCACAATGTCCTCTAAATCTCCAGAGCTGCTCCCCTCCCAAACCTGCACTGATTATTGAACATGCAGATCATAATTGTTCTTGTTCAGACTGCTCTTGACATCAGCGAATGATCATGCTACTTGTGCTGATTACGGCAATTATGGCTGTAGTTGCAGCTGAGTACGATCAACGTGCCCAGGCAACAGGTGAGGAGTACCTCGAGCACGCCACCTGCGAGACAGCGCAGAAGCTCGGCGTGCCAGGTATGCTGGCAGCTGGAGCCTGAGAACAAGGCTGTGGTTGGAAGCAAAGGGCTTACGGGTATAGCTTGCTTGGTATGATCCGAGCATATGCATGACCCTGTAACGGGGATGCTTTTCAGTTTGTGAAGCCCCCGTGATCTTCCAGAAGTGTGACGCTACGCTCAGCTGACTTGAATCATGCGTTGAAGACTGAGGTGTGCACTGTGTACCTGCTTGTCGGCCTCCTCCTGAACATTCGCATGATCCACAGGGCAGTTCTGGACGGCAACGTTTGAACCATGCATGGCACTGAACAGACTGCTGCCACAGCGCAGCTATCAGAACCTGCAGCGCGGCCAGTCCAAAAGCTGGCCCTGCGCGGGTCTCTCCATCCTCGTGGCGTAGGTGGCCGTAGGTAGTTGGCCATGGCTTGCTTGCCACAATGGCCTCGTTTATGTGTTAATGGAACTCGTGAGGCTCTGTGCGGCCGTTGTGGCATCACGGCACTGCAAGCGTGGAACGGCAATCCCATGTTGAAGTTGACCTTCAGCCGAACTTCAGCCATTGTACTCGATTTCCCGTTTCGCAGATCAGCCCATGCCGCAAGAGTTTCAGCCTGGTGGTATTCCAGTGAAGTCATTAAAGAGCCAGCAGAGAAAAGTGCGATTGAGTTGCATCTACCTCTGGGCACTCGTTATTTCGGCTCCCCATTCTGTCGATTGACTTGTCTGCTATTGATCGTATTCGCTACTTTGCTGACAACCGTTGCAAGTGTGGTCCGTATCAATACTTGTACTACGAAAGCCCTCCCCTTAATGTATCAAATATTCCCATTGTGGTATGCCATATTATATATTTAAGATCAGAGGGCTACCAGTCACCTTGTGTAGGTCTGAGACTGGACGGCGGCAGCGGCGGCCGCCCTCTGCAACCTTCGGCTCGGCGGGCCGCGATGCGGTTGCACGACCCGAAAATTCACTTCCCGGTCCCACAATTAGGGTGTTCAGGGTTTGGAAATGTAGGGTTTGGGGTTTAGGGTTTTGGTTCTAGGGTTAACTTCAACCACGCGCTTAAGGTGTTCAGGGTTTTAATTCCTTCCCCCCTCAACAACAAAGCAGATGAGTAGGACTCTTCTCAAGGGACACTACTATGACAATGAGACTGCTATAGATTGATGGCAGACAACCTTCAATCATTCTACAGTAAACCCTAAACAGTACCTTAAATCATAGTTTCCATTGTCTTTTCCATTGTCCCAATATACTATGATACACCATAAAATATATACATATATATCCCCTATACATCCCCATCAGAGAACCCTCATTCTTAGAGACTGATGGGCCTGAGGCTGGAAAGCTGGCAACAGCAGTGCCTTGGACTGACTTACTCTCGCTAAAGCTAAACTAAGGTGGAACCTCATATGGGTGGTTGTCAAAATTATGGTCCCTTTTTGGGTACCCTAAGTATTAGATGCCATATTATAATAGAGATCCAAAAAGGACCATAATTTTGACAATCACCCATATGTGTGATTCTTCATGCGGGATATTCGGGGAGTGTAAGAGGATTGAGGGGCCGTTCAAGAGGAGATGCGTCTTTGTAGCGTCACTTGTGCGGTTCCATGTTAGTGTCCTCAGTCCGCATATGTCATCGTCATGCAGCAATGATGGTCACTGTAGCAGAAGCCGAAGCAGAAGTTATAGCAATGATCTTCAAGCAGCATTCACAGCTGTGTTTTGATGTTGATTAGTCGCAAGCGGCTGTTTGCATCGGATAGCTAGCGTGCATGAATCCAAATCCTATGGTCTTACGAAGCGGAACATAACATCTTCCCATGATAGTCACATACCCTTCGTGCTCTTAACCCCGGCTCAGTATTGACAACTCCTCAGGCACCAGCAAGCCATCCTATGCCCTAGACATCTCTAGATCCCTCATCCTGCGATCCTGGATAGCCCTCACTCAGTCCTCTGTCTCAACCAGGTCGAACGCCCTCACTCTGCGCGCCTACCGCCGAGCCCTGAGCGCTGCCCAAAAATTAATTCAGGGCCTGCTCAGAGTTTGAGGTTTTGTATTCAAGTCGAAAGTGAAGCACAATGAAGAAGATCAGCCGGGATTGGGAAGGCATGGGATTCAAGATGCCTCATCTCTTCATGCATACTTTTGGACAACGCTATGGTAGGGATCAACTTATCTGTACTTGTGCATGGAACCCGAGGGCAAAACCTGGCCTTGCTAACCATGATGGTCGTAATGCTAAGTAAAGTTATAAGAATGCATCTGTTCACGGATGATGGAAGTAACTGAGCTGAGGGTTCCTGCTTCGAGGGCCTGCCTTCTCAATTCCTTCGATGAGGGCGGAAATGTTCCTACCCTGGTTCCGGTCAAGGGTTGCCTGGTCCTATGGTGTTTAGGATTGCTTCTTTTGGGTTCTCCCAGTCGCCCCCCGTATTTTGGAGCCTGGGGATGTGAATGCAGGCCTTGACAGAGATGGTGGTTTAGATCCTGCCCCCGCTCATGAACCGTTGGATGCTTTTCATCAACAAGGTTATATCTAGCCCTTAATATGATCCCTATCATAGACTGTTAATGGGTGGGGCAGGACCCAGGTTACGGCTTAGGCGGGTTAGGCTGAAGGGTTGACTCAGGCTGATGCATGCTTTGAAGCTGCTATGCAATCCATTTCAATTCGTGAGCGGCCATTTAAAACACTTGAGGGATTTGGGGGTTGTTCTTCAAAAGCAAAATTTGTTCGAACTTGACTTTCAAGTGCGATCCAGGTCTCAAATCCAGGATTGTAGGTGTGCATCCAGCATACGTGGCGCCTGGCGAAGGCAAATTATGACGGAATTTCTGCATCTGTGGCCCGGGAAGTAACAAAAGCGAGGCAGGGGCAGCAGGGCTGCAAGGTCGGCCGGAACTACCTCGGCTAAATGCGGCTAGTGACTACTACGTCAATTCGACACCTTGACCCGCTCATTGTCAGATACTTGTATCACTCTGGTTCGAGCTGCGGGCTTCCGCTGCGCAGTCGCAGACCTTACCTGCTCAGCCCTCAGGCCACGGCTTCCACATCCCGTGCTGGCGACGAGACAGGCCTCGAATGTAGGCTGCAGCTTATACGGTCTTTGCGAGCCTCAGGCTTGTCTGATTGAGAAGAGCCCCGACACTTGGCACCTGCAACACATGCGCCCTGTTCATCGTAAATGATAGTCTTTGACGGAGGTGCCAGCAATTCACGAACATGACTACAAGCTGTAATGTATAGTAGTAATATATAGTGGAAAAAGAAGAAGGATATTACCATAGTAAGCTACCATTGATTGCTAAAGCCTGTCTGCTCCTTTGCATCTTGCCTCTGCATCTCCTGGGTTGTTTCCTTCCTAGGCACTGGCTAGGTGTGACGCATACAGTTGATAAATTTGATATTGAAAAATCCTGCGTGACTTTCGTATACTATTGTACCATAAGTCCCGAGGTATAACGTACCGAAAGCCACGCAGGAGTTTAGGATCCGCCATAGGAATCAGGTAAAGCTAGCACATGCTAGCGCGCATTGTAAAAGCCGTGAATCTTGCTAGCAGGTTTTGGCTAGCTAGTGCTCTGTCTTCCTGAACACCTGTCCATACGCTGTGGGAGGAGATTATGAAGTTTGACCCCACTGGTCGGCGTTAGGTCAATAGCTGAATGGATCTGCTTGTTTTGAATTCATCCGCCCACCTTGCGAAACAGACAAGGGCTGCGCGGACGAACAATTATGCAGTTAGCATGACATTATATGGCTTGCATTCCAGAGTGGACATCTGTCCCTTCTTGACAGAAGCAGAATTTGCGCCAATTCATTTCTCACTTCGATTCAATGGGTCCATGACTTTTTCTGTGAAGTAGGCTCCAAAGCATGGAAGTCTTCAGATGGGAGACCCCTTGGACACAGGCAAGAAGCCCTGGAGTGAGATTTTCCAGTTGCAACGCCACATCATTGGTGGCCGTGTTAGCCATGTGACATGCAGCAGTCTAGACTAGCCCAAAGTGCAATTCATTCAGCTATCTTCCTGGGTTGGTCAAACGAACTACGTGGGGCACGGGCGATAGCACCTGCTTGGTGTGAGGCGTTCTTGCATGATTGGTTCGAGTCGCACGAGCCAAGCTTACAAGAAAAGGTCGCTGCGAGAAGCAGAGCGTCATCAGGTTTGAGGGATGACTCAGCGTGTTCCATACATGTCCAAGCAGGTCAATGCGAGCGCATGCAACAGATACTTGTAGGGTCCATGTTACCAGCCCTGTTCTACAATCGTTGTTCAGATGCTTTTAGGGCAGACAGCATATTTCCGTGGATTTTCCATCCATCGCGCAGCTTTCCTGGGCCAAGAGGGCGACCTGCTCGTTTAAAATACTCCTGCCCCCGCCACGCAAGGCAGATTGGCAAAATACCCACCAGTTGCAAGAAATTTCTGAACCACATGACAGACATGCCTGCACAGCTGTTTCAAACAACAGTTGGCGCGTGCCTCACAGGGCTGGTGTAGAAACATGAGCGATCTGGAACTTTGCATTTAAATCTGGAGGCTGGCCCACGATCTAGAGAAGTGGGCGCCGCCCTCAAGCTACAGAAGTAAACACACGTACACATGTAGGAATCATCAATCAGCTGTTAACAGCAGCAGCAAGCACTAGGGTTTCCACTCCCCTGCATGGGGGATGGTGGCATGCTTGGCCTGCGCCCTGGCACACTGGCTGCGAACGATCGCAGCATGGTAATGCAGCCTACAATGTGCCAAGAAGCTGAGGATTGCTCAGAGGATGCGCATGGATCTGAGTACATGTGGCTCGTGTCATCAATTTGCTTTTGCAAGAGGAGACGCATGCTAAAATGTGCTACTATCATACTTGCCGCATGTCACGGCATACAGAGCGGCCAGTGAGGTCTGTGACGCGGACGATGGCCTTCCACAAAAGTTCCGAAAGTGCTGCCGCCCAGAGCTGCGAGAGCCTGCTGAGAGAGAGTCGCGGAACACGGTGCATCGAGCTCAAGCGATTGATGGTTGCACGTATGGACTGTTTAGACATGAAGCAGCTAGATTCGTGATTCCCAGGCCGCTTGTGCAGATTGGGGACTACGAGGATGCGCTGGAGATCCGGGTCCCAAGACCGAAGCATCTGGTTCCGCGCATGCAGACGTGCGCCGAGTGGCACTGCCAGTTTCATTTCGCGAAAAGAGTTCTAGGCAGTTCACACCTAGCAGTTGCGTTTGGAACTCATGCCTGTGCTAAAGCCCATTGCCTTTGGAGGTACTCGTCGTCGCCGGACCAGCCGCTGCTTGGGGTCCCCATTCGTGAGGGCACCTTGTGGCATCTGTCAGCCCAGGACTTGACCCGCTTTGGTAGATATCATCTTGTGGTACTGGTTGCACAGGCTGAAGGTATTTCTTAGCCTGGATGTTGCTTCCAAGAAAGGCTTGTTCCAGAAGAATCCAAACTTCTGTGCAGCTGTTTACCTGGCTTGCTACAAGTCAGATCAGAAGCCTAACTTACCCCAGCCATACCCACGCTTTGGCACTTTGGCGCTAGCATACTTAAAGACTAGAAAAGACACCTTGAGCCATGGCTTTCACCGACCGGGCCTCAGTTCCCTGGCCCCTCCTGCTGCTCTTGTCTCTGGAAACTGAAGCAGGTCGAATACACTCAAATGTGCGAACAGGTGCCGCCCTCTGGCCGGGTGCCACGCTCCACAGCACCTCCGGAAGCTACTGACAACCATGAGCTGAAGGTAGCCTTGCCTGCAAAGCCGCATGGATGTGTTGGCTTCATGACTGTCACTAGATTTTGCCAAGCATTTCTGGCAGAATTGCAGCAGTCACCTGTGCGGGATGTGGCAGAGCCCCCCTGCGTAGCATGAAGCGATGAGGAATTCTCCGTTGTTGAGATACTATGCCTACGATATACCCCCTGTATAGCCCCTATGATAAGCCCTATGTAAGCCTCATAGGCATATTACCCCTATGTAGCCCTTATGTAACCCTATATAATCCAATGTAAGCCTCATAGGCATATTACCCCTATATTAATGTAACCCTATATAACCCAATGCAAGCCTCTAGATTCCCAACATGATGCGAGTGCTTTTGCGCCAGGCAGTGCTGGCTGCTCAGGAGTCCGAGATGCTTGCCATGAAGGCAAAAAAATGCAGTAATAAGGATGATAGAAGAATCATTAGTAGTGATAACAGTCAATATAGTCATAATAGTCGTAAATGCCATAATGGTCATAATAGTCAGTATATGTCAGAATAGTAAGAATCGCACTAATTGTCATAGTAGTAGTAATAGTGATAACAAGAATATATGGTCCAATAGTCGCAGACTTTGCAAGAGTTGGCCAGAATCGACTTACTGCCAGTACTTGGGGCTTAGTAGGGAGTGTGGGAATATATCATACGGGGATTATATAGGGACTATGTGAAAATACGTTCCCCGAGTTCTTACTCAGAACCAGTGAGTCAAAGAAGTCTTAGATCAGTGGCCTGGTCTTTTTGGATCCTCTTGTGATGGTTTTTGCCTACCAAAAATGAAATCAGTAGCGAGCTAAACAGGTGCATGTGCGTCGCCCTTTCGTAGGCGCAGCTGGCAGATGCGCAGCGCGAGTGTCCGAGTCTTAAGGTTTGGGTCGTGTCCTTGATTTGGCACATGCCCAGATACGACCCCGAAGCAGCAGAAGTCTCATCAAGACCACAGTCATGTGCGCAGGAAACCTGGGAGCATTCAACGAATCCACCCCCAAAACCCCAAACCCCTCAAACTTAGAATCAGTGGACTGTCAGGAGTGCGGCGTGGCTCACAAAGGCTAGGAATCCTTTTCTATACTCACTTTGGATACTTGCTAAGAATTGGTTTCCGGCTCATGGGATTCTGTTGCTCGACACGTAGAGCCTCCATCCTTTTTGAGGCAACCGTTTGAAGCACAAGCTGCGAGATGTCGAGGGCGAGCTGCACGTGGCCAAAGAGGCCCCTACAAGAAGTTGCACTTTGTTTAGGGACCGCAACATGCTCGCTTAAGCAGTAGAACAAACCACTGCTCTGGCTACCACAACGCAGGTCATCATAGTACAGATCTTGGCCATAGCTGAAAGTGCGTTCTGGGCAAGTTTTCAACGCAGCTGTTGTCTCTTTTACGCAAGTTACAAAAGGTAGTGCAAGGTAAGATCGAGCGCTTCAACATGTACAATTCATGGGGGAACACATCAGAATCAACAGAAGAGGATCCAGACTTGCAACCAGATATCCCCCGCTGCCCCATCTGCTTCCAAATGGATGTTTAAGCTGCAGTTGCATAATGTTGACATCTTGGTATGCTGATTCGATGCAATCAGCAGCCAGGCCTCATGTGATCCCGCGCTCCCCTTGGCTTAAAACAGGTCACAGCATCAGCAACCGATCGCCTCGCAGCCCATGCCGAGCGAAAAGATCTCCTCCTCTCTGCAGGCTCGTGAAATGCCCCCCCCCCCCCTTGATATCAGTTTGGCAAGGTGCCCAGAGCAGAGGCTCAATTTTTCACAGACATACGGGATAGCGAATGCGACGATGAAGATTGTAAATTGGATTGGAGAACTGCTGACAGGTGTGGAGCGTGGCGGTCTTGAGCGGACGAAGCTAGAGGAAGAGCTCCAGCGACGGGGCTCAAGATCGGAAGACTGCAGTTCTGTCTGTTCTGTTGCATAGCCGGGCATCAGGCGAATGGAGCGCATGCTGTGGGAGCGAGACCAGGACTGTTTTTTGCTGGTTTGCCGGGAGTTAGTGCTCCCGTAGAGATGACTTGCAGGCAAAGTGCACCCATTTGCTGTCAGCTTTTTGAGCCTACAACTGTGGGACTCAGCTCGAAGCTGGCAGGAGATTAAGAAGCTCCGGCACGCTGCCGGCAATCTGGAAAAGAGCCAGTATGGGGCTTATCGGCTTATCCAAACTTGCCCATTTTGAGAGCATGCGGAGCTAAGCACCGTACCATGTTCATCTCTGGATCACGAGATGCTTCGAGCCTAGAGATGCCAAGGCTGCAGCTCGACCTGGAGATGCGCGGGCTCCATGCAGCCAAGGAGACCTCCACCCTGGAGGTCAGGATTTTGGTCTTGTTAGAATCGCCCGCTGTGAGCCTTCCTCTCTCAGCGAATTCAGAGCTGCTATGTGTGATAGGCCCGGGAGCTGAGCACTGGCATTGCAGATCTGCTGCAAAATCGCCTGCAGAAGGCCTGGAGGAGTCATTGCAGCAAACAGGTTGCGGCTCATCTAGGGTTGGCTGAAGGAGGCCTGTAGGGTAGAAGGTGACAACATGTAGCTTCGAATCCACACTATTCATACAAACTGCATGCCGGAAGCTATCAGGCGGCAGGACGAGGCTACAAACCCCAAAAGGGGACAAAGAAGCGGACGCAAAGCACAGGTGCCAAGTGCTCAAGAAGGCCTTCTGGAGAGTATGGCCGCACTGGCCTGTTTCGGAGTAAAGTGACCCGTCTGGTCCACTTGACCATGCAGATGCGCAAGCAGTGCAAGCCCAGCCAGTTGCGACATGTTGCGACTTTGTGTGCGCATGTTCCGTACAAAGCAATATTTGGAGTACTTTGGAGTTCCACAGGATGCTGAGAATTTGTATCATCTTTTGGAACCTCTCACCATGGTGTGGTCTTACGAGTCAAGGGTGGCTGGAACAAACAGCTCATCATTGCCCCAAATGATAGATACAAAACTTCAGCTTCAACTTGCAAAATTAACTCGCGGCAGGTGGGAGGAAGCCCGTTTAGCACTCGCAGCCTGGACTCTCAACGTCAGCGGGAGCGCGCTGTTCGAATGCCCAACCCCATGGCCCTATGTATAAGACCCATACGACCGTTGCCTTCCATTACCAAGTCGGGTGGCTTTGCGAGTTTTGTTGGCAGGAGGAAAAGCGCCACAAAGACAGCGCTCAGCAGCTGGAGGCAAAGCGTCAGGCCATTTGAACACAAGATGCAAGATGTAAACTGAACGACTTCAGATGCCTTCAGCATACATGCCTGGCTATTCAAGCCTCTCCGAGAGGAGCATGCAGAGCTACGCCGACGAGCCGATCAGGCCTGGTTGACTGACATCTTTTGAGCAGCATTTTGTCTGGGGATGCGAAAGTCTCCACAAAAAGCAAGATTGCATCCTCCTGTTGCTAATGGAATCGAGAAGAGGAAAGTGCAAAGGATAGATCACGAGGCCTTGCCTCCTCTTTCCGTAACAATACTGGGAACAGCAACAACCTTCGCAGTCAAATCGACCCATCGAGGCAACTGCAGATGCCAAGAGAATGGAGGAAGCTTGACCCTCAGCAAGTCCAGGATGTGCCGAGAGGTCAAGTCTGAAGCGCTCTGAAGCGAATTTGCTAACCCCGCAGCTTATCCGCACACATGTTTGAGGAGGATGCTGCACTCCATCATCGTGTGCAGCTGTTCGAACGGCAGTTGCGAGAGAAGCAGGCCAGGGAATGCACGAGACCAGGGAGGACAAGGGCTGGTTTGTTTTTGCCCCAAGTCCTTAAACCCTAAACCTTGAGTGCTGAGCACAAGGGCCAGATGGAGCTGCGCGACAAGCAGTTCGTTCACGAGGGGGCCCGGCTTGGCCTGTTCAGACTGCTCAGATTAAATTGCGCCACGTGAGCTATAGTAAACTTCTTAAAAGGGGGTTCTGTAGCGGAGTATTGTAGGGGTTATCCAAGGGGATACTACGAGTTTAAACTGTAGCTCAAATTGTGGCATGTGAGCTAGTCTAATCTTCTTGAAGGGGTTATACATGTATAGATATTAGTGGGGAAGAAGGGAATATATTATATATTACATAGGGATTCTATTCCCTAATTTCCAATTAACCCTAAACCCTAAACCCCTAAACCCTAAACCCCTAAACCCTAAACCCCTAAACCCTAGACCATATACTATATTCCCTCATTTTATACTGGAACCCCATGCTTGCCAGGGCCTCCTGCGAGAGCATGTGCAGGAGATGCTGCTGTGAGAGTTGCATGAAGCTTCTCGGCGTGGTGTATATATATATATATAATACATATGTGTATATAAAGATATATGTGTATGTGTGTATGCTCATAGGTACATACATAAATTATGTATGTAAGTATGTATACTATATATATATATGTTTCTATACACACACATATATATGTATATATAATTCTCTCTCTCTCTATATATATAATATGTATATAATTGTATATATACATATGGGCCGATACATATATTATGTGTATAGAATATATGTTTATGAGCTGTAGTCTAAACTTCTTAAAAGGGTCAATTAGGGGATTTTATAGGAGACCGTATAGGGCTTATCAAGGGGGATACTA